AGGAGGTAACATATCCCATTTTATGTAGATTTTCTAAACTCATTTTTCATAATTGAGGTCGTAATGTGATATTTAAGGACATTTGCTTTAGTTATTAACTCAATACTGCACACAATACCGACTGAAAGAATAGCAGCATTACACGCGCGTATTATGCTTGTAAATCCGCCATATTACACGCAATTTACACGCAAATTACGCGCGAGTAAAAGAAGTACACGAAAGCGTGTGCAGAAAATTACTCGCAAATTCTTCATAGAACTCCATGCAGTGCATTCAATTTCAAACTTAGCACTTTTGATAATTAACGTGCCAGTTCACACCACTTTTATTCTTATTGAATTATCAGTCCATGATGAAAGAAGAATGGAACACAATGACTATCCGTGGAAATCCTTGATGGATAGTAGAGAAGTAAGATGCTTTTATTAATCAGTAGGACTTTGGAATGCATGTAATTTTCAGCTTTTGTTTCAAATTAATAATAAGCCCTTGAACTTTGTAAAGCCTGTCTATTGGGAGGACTTTGATACTTTTTCTTCTAAGTTCTCAATGTAAATGACATTTTCCTCACGGACTATATTACCTTTATATTTCCTGAACTGAGTGAACGTTCCTCAGGAAATCGCCTTCCCCTTCTCACTCACGAAAGTTGACCCCTTTCTTTGTTTTGGACTCTCCCAAAACTCTCCCATCTTTTTTGTTTGTTTGTTTGTTTGTTTGCTTTAATTTTCTGAGCGAGGCACATCTCTGTTTTTTCACCTTCCAATTGACTTCCTCTAAAGTTACAATCATGGTGGCTATTCTCAAATTTATGGCCATCTGGATTTTCATTTTTACCAGATTGAATTCTTTTTAGAATGTATAGAACGAGAAAAGTTCTGCCGGATTATATAGCCATAATTTTGCTCTTTATATAATTTCGTGCTTCCAGCTGTTCTGTCTTTAATTATAACTTTCTTTGATAAGAGCAAAGTGATTTTTAATGATATATAACAAATAATGCTTTTATCTGAAGATCATAGGTTCTCTATAAAATCGACTTAACGTCTTTTCTTTGCAGAAGTCTGTAAGGAAAATGAAACTCACAAGATTCTACCTACAAAACTTTGATTGGCGACATTCTAGGAGAAAGTGAGTTCTGTTTTGTTTGTTTGCGAGATGCTTATAGACAAGTGACTTTGTTTTATGCGAGATTAATTTCGTCCCCTGAGTCCTCGTTCGCTTGACAACCTGTCACGTTCATTCCACTTTGCAAGGGGAACGGAGGTTTGGGAACGAGTTGACAAGAGACATTTTAGTGGCCAAATGACTTGCGCATTGGAATCTTCTGAGGACGGTTTCTGGTTTTGGTTGTTCTCATCCTCTTTCTTCATTTCAATTAACAGTTTGTATGTAATTGTTTTGCAGCTATGGAATATTGTGAGATGAAAAGTGTGTTTCCAAGTTATGGTGAGCTACTAGATTCTAAAGTTCAGTGCATGAATCTATTTACACAAGTATTATTACAGTTTATAACCCACCCATTCTAA